AAAAATTATGGATTTCCGCAGACAATTTTTTTCTACTTGAAAAGCTTACCAATACTAAAACGAATATTTCGTACATAAGTGATTTCAGCTAAACGAAAGTTGAGCCCCCAAATCCCAAATCTACTACAATATTTGACTGAAATAAAGTTCTAAATGCTAACCGGTGCAAAAAGATAAAAATTAGGCCAAATCGTGTAACGAGGTAATATTGCTATATCATAAACTTGAATTTTTAGAGCAAAAACTTTTAGAATGTCTCTCAAATAACCGTTGACAATGAGGGAAAGACGATCTTCACGTTACTTCAGTCTTTCTCTTTTTCTTAAATCTATCAGTCGTTGTATTTGAAAAACATACTAAATAGCTTTTATGATGATTAAGGGAAACAATATCGTATTAAAAAAATACATTTAGGCACGCTAGGTTATACATCTTTTTAGCAAATATTACTTTACTGTTATTATTACGAGACGTTGCACTTTTCCATTCTTATGGATAGCTTAAGTGATAAAAAATAACAAATCTAAACAGGCATTTTACTGAAATGATAAAATGAGTTATACAAATGTTTAGTTTTAGTTCTTTTAATTTGATTATTTACCAAGGTATTTTAAAGTAATAAGTAAGTAAAGGCCGGTACGGTCACGTTCAGAGAATGCAAAACGAGGGAATTCCAAAACAAGTATGTCATTGGATACCACCTGGTAAACGAAAGAGAGGACGTCCCAAGAAAACATGGATGGAAGGAATCAGAAGATCAATAAGCGAGAAAAATCTGACCGAAGATCAATGGGAAAATCGCACAAGGTGGAAGTTAGGCATCGGACAACGTCGTAGGACGTTCTGACCCGAATGTATATATATATATATATATATATATATATATATATATATATAGCATATATATATATATATATATATATATATATATATACTTCTATACTATATATATATATATATATATATATATATATATATATATATTTTAAAGTACGTTTCTTGTTACACACAACGATTCCAAAAATACCAAGAATGAAATCAAAAAATTACCAAAGAAAAAAATAGAAGAAATTAAACAGATGCATCTATTAACATTATATTAAAAATTTTAATTAAAAAACTTTTCATATTTTTTTCTATATCATATGTATATACCTATATGTTTTTTAATAATACAAAAAAAAAACTTATAATAAAGTACGTCTACTGGATCTGTGTCTATGAAAGGAATGCGGACAAAAACATTTACCTGTACAGAACGTACTGTACGTAAATTTGACAAAGCCGGGCTCAAACGACTCGTGTACTTGGCAAACATTTGTTATTGGCCATTGTTACCTGCCATTTTGTGTGAGTGGTTTACTTGTACAATTATTTGTCACTCGCCTATCGTGTGAGCGCCAAGCTTGCCATTGTGGCTTAAGCCGGACTCAGACGACTCGTGTACTTGGCAAGTGCACCAGTATTTGCGTACGTGGCAAGTAGGCTATCTACATATGTAAATAACATTTTTTTCATTTGTAATCAACAACAAGCTTGCACAAGTAAACCACTCATATGGCAAGTATCACACAATAGGGCAAGATATGCCAATAACAAAAAATGTTTGTCAAGTACACGAGTCGTCAGAGATCGGCTTTATGGTGTGCTCAGACGACTCGTGTACTTGACAAACCTTTGTTATTGGTATACAGGGTGCGTCGGGCATCTGTACAGAAGTTAGTTTTTATTATAGGAGTTACGCCGCACTATTGCCGGACCCTGTATATCAACATTTTTATTGACATACACATGTCAACATTTGTCAAGTACACAAGTCGTCAGAGTCTGCCTTAAAATTTAATATTGTTCCAGATAGTACATATTTGCCAAGTACGCCAATACTTGCGTACTTGGCAAGTATACTATCTAGTAAGTAAGCGCCATTTTTTTGCAACAAGCTTGGCGCTCACGTGGCGCGACGAATGACAAATAAATGCACAAGTAAACCACTTAACGCGCAGTCTGATTCGTGTACTTGGCAAGTACGCCAATATTTACGTATTTGGCAAGTATACTATCTTTGTAAATAACATTTTATTTGCAACAAATTTGGCGCTCACGCGGCGCGACGAATGGCAAATAAATGTACAAGTAAACCGCTCACAACATGGCAAGTATATCCCAATAACAAATGTTTGTACAAGTACACGATTCGTGAGAATCCGCCTTTACACGACATGGCAAGTATATACCAATAACAAATGTTTGTCAAGTACACGACTCGTCAGAGTTCGCCTTTAGAAAGATGGGGATACTTGTCAAGTACACCGATATTTGTGTACTTGGCAAGTATACCATTTTGTAAACAATATTGGTAAGCTTGGCGATCGCACTACGTTCCGAGTGACAAATGACTGCACAAGTAAATCACTCACACAACATGGCAAGTATATGCCAATAACAAATGTCTGCCAAGTACATGAGTCGTTTCAGCCCGGCTTAAGGTGTAAATTTTGTGGCAAAAAATGGGTATCAACGTCATATTTTGAAGAAACTAGCGTCATTTCAGGCCGAACTGTTTATATTTCTGTATCATGTATTGTTTATATTATATTTTGTTCATATAAATAAACCAGTTTGTGTAACTCATTTTTTCTAAATATGTTTTTTGATTATCCACAAATGGAAGAAAACATTACCATTTTTTATTTACTTGAAAAAAACTATATCCGTTCAAGATTTGTAATTTTTTAAAACAAGTCAAGTTGTTTTATTTACTGAATGTTATTCAACAAAGTATTTGTCGTTAAATAACCTACCAATATATAAAAAATGATTGGTATATTTTGAGCTGATTTTTGATTTGACCATTTTGATTGTTTGTTACAGTTGCATTAACTATAAAACAACTTGGTTGTTTAAACTTAAAGAAAACTTTGTTTCTTGTCATATATTGTTCCAATTATGTTAAAGGTGTTCTTCCTATTACCTATGCGTTTCCTATAGGCCTTTAAAGAAATACTTTGACATACAAAAAGCAAAGATTTCTTTTAACGTCAACTATTAATTTATCAATTCCATATAAGGTTCTAGATGTATATAAGTATAGTTTGCTAGTTTTAAATAAATTAATAGAATGTAAGAACATATGATTGTCAGTACCTATATACTTATATAGTATTTGTAACTAAGTAGTTTATTATATCATGTGTTTATAAATAAACATAATTAAAAATGCTATAAATATAATTTTGATTTCCGCTGATACAAAAAATTCTTTTAATAAATATACAGGGTGGTAGATCTCGATAAAAGAAACATATTTTCTCTTTATCGTTTTTCAAATAAGTCCAAAATAACGTAGTTATTTTACTTTAAAAATTTCCAAAAAAAAATTTCCAGTTTTTGCTAAAATTTTTAGAACCACTTTATCTTTTCTGAATTTTCTTTCTTGTAAATTTAATCTAAAACCTATGTTGCCATATTATAAAGAAATTATGTTTTTTAACTAAAAACTAAAAAAAATTCCAAAAAAAATTCGAATTTTCAATTTTTTTTTGCGAAAAAAACCTCATAGGCGTGTTTCTGGGGTTGAACTATACTACCAGTTAAAATACTTGCATTCATTCATTTCTGGGACACCCTGTTTATAAATTGCAAGAAAAAAAATGTGAGTGCTAAACGGTAAAATATTTATTTTTAAAGCTACTTCAATTTCTGCAGAAAGCTTTACCCAAATTTCAATATACCGAGAGTTTGCCCATTACTGTTCACAGGTAAATTTATTTTCTGGCGATGTCGTCTGTCGAAATCCTCCCAGACTCGTCGGACAGACTATAGACATGCAAAATACACTCAGATGCAAAAAAAAACCAACGGAGAAATTTTTGGTCAAATTTAGTGTTATATTTTTGTTATTTTTAGCCCTATTTTCATGCTTTTTTTAGCAAACTGTATTTAATTAAATCAACTTTAATTCGTAAACTCAGTTTTTTTTATAAACTCTAGTAATTGGCATATTATACAGGGTTAATCGAGGGTTTGTTTTTTATCCTAAGTTTAAAACACCCTGTGCAATAATTTCGTATGTAAATTTTCGTAAAATAAAATTTTACGGTAAGAACCATGTCTCTTGAGCATTTTATTTTTTAGATCATGTCAATACATGCTTCGGTTAATTTTAAGAGCGAAATGAACTCATCACGATCAATTTGCAATTTTTTCAATTATCATTACTATTGATGTAATTTTTTGTATGGCGAGATGGTTTTGGTGATTATTGTCGTAACGTCATGTTACGCTGCATCGGATACTCTATATTAAATTTAAAAAAAAAATGTTAAAGACTAACGATACAGCCCTGGTTTTAATAAACATTAATAACGATAATAGAACTAACGATATTAAAGAAAACATCTGTAATAATGCAGTAAACAAACAGAAAAAAAACAACAAACGTAAAAAATACCCTAATACTTTGTATTGCCTCCTCTGGCTGCTATTACTGCCTAGATACAATACGTCCGTTCATACTGTCATTGAGGTTGCATATATCATATTGCGTAATGCTTTCCCATTCTTCTTTAAGAACTAAGCGAAGTTCATTTAATAAAGCTGGTACCCCTTGGCGACCTCTCACCCTCCTGCCAAGCATTTCCCAAACGTCGAACATGATAGGTAGTTTATAGTAGTACATAATTCACAATAATCACCAACGCTGCCTTGTCATATTGAAAAAACACTTCAAAAAGAAATTATAATTGAAAAAATTGCAAATTGTTGGTAGCAAGTTCATTTCACTCTAACCAAATCCAAAAAAACAAAATGCTCAGGAGATTTGGTTTTGACCGTAAAATTATATTTTAGGAAAATTTACACACGAAATTATTGCACAGGGTGTGTCAAAGTTAGGGTAAAAAAACAAGCCCTCGATTAACCTTGTATGAAAATAGGGCTAAAAATAACAAAAATATAACACTTTCATTTTGACCAAAATTTTCTCCGTTGCGTTTTTTTTGCATCTGAGTGTATATAGGTAAAAATTGATTTAAATTGTAAGTTAAAACATGATGGAAAAATAAAGATATTAATAATTTTTAATTTAAAACTAGCAACCATTGGAAATAAAATCCATACAAAAGGAAAATACGCGCGCACTGCACAAAAATTCTACGACGTACATTGATTATTGTCCAAGTTGTAGCGGGCTCAGTACTATACCGCTATGTTTATCACTGGGAGCTCTGTTATCTCTCCTATTTGTCACTAGTTCGTCGGGTCTGCTACCGCTACCGGTAGCTTCACCACCACCATCACCACTAATACCCGGTCCTGTCGAGTTGTCACTGTGTTCGATCACCACGCTCAAAGTTTCCGAGAAGAGTCTGGATTGGACGTTTGCGCTGTTGCCGCTATACACCGCCGCCGGTTCACGTTGCCTCGTCAATTTGCTGCCCGGCTGACATAATTTGTTGGCTTCGGTTTGATCATTGAGTCCACCACCATCCTCATCATCGCTCTCATTACTAGAGACGCTCTGGACATCGTAATTTAGGTCCATTGCTGTTAGTTCGATGACGCTGTCGTCCCTTGACAGCTTACTGTGCTCCTCGGAATCGGGAAGAGACGGAAGATGAATCTATGACGAGAAAAAAAAATGTTAATGAATCTACCAAGAAAATGACTCTTGGTTTGAGATGAACCGCCTATTTAAAAATAGACATATTTCTTTAAATTCAAAACATTCATTTTTAAGACACTCTGTATACATAAATAAAATTATTGATTTTTAAAATATTATTTACAAACTAGGGAGAGGGAAATCAGGCGACGACCAGAGATAATAGTTGTTGAATAATAGCTTATAAACTACCATTCGAGATGCATTGATATTATTTTGGTTCGTAAATTTTGGTGACAAAGAACTGATATTAAAGGTAAAGTAAATGTTTTCTCATTATTTAACTAATACAGGGTGGCCCATCGAAAACGTTCCGCAAGGCATAACGGCCAGGGTAATTTTTTTTTCAGAAAATTTAAAAACACGTCAATTTTGTTTGTGAGGGGGACAACTTTTGCCCCAAAAATGATTGCAAAATCTTCAACCCTCTAAGCGGGGGTGTCATCCCCCAATTTTTTTCAAATGAGAAGGGGGATCAAGTGGTACCGCAATGAAAAGGGCTATTTATTCTCTATACTTTCCCGCTTCGTTTTTGAAAATCGGTCGAGTCATTGAGAAAATATGAAGGATTGAAATTTGAAAAGTTTATTTAAACATTTATCAGAGTAAATGATAAGGATAAATTCCTTCGACCAATTTGCTGTTTTTTCTTACTATTTCTAGATGTTTACGCATTTTTTCACTTGCCACAAGGTTGAACGATCAGGTTAGGTAGAGTGTACTTTCTTTTTGAACGGTGTAGTTAATTGGCACAACTGTCGTTACTGGGCTGAGAACAACCCCAGGGCTTTTCACGAGGTGCACACACAAAACCCTCAGAAATTGAAAGTGTGGGCCGGTATTTTTAGAAATTCTATTGTGAGTCCTTTTTTTCTTCCTGGAAATCTAAAAGGTGATATGTACTTGGATTTACAGAAAAATACCATCGACCCAGCCCTAACTGACATCATAGAGAACAATCCTGGATACGTTGAAGCAGAACTAATATTTCAACAAGACGGTGCACCTCCACATTACTCTCAAAATGTGCGTAATTATTTAAACAATAACTTTCCAGTTCGGTGGATAAGACGAAGGGGTGCAATTGAGTGGCCTCCCCGGTCACCCGACTTGACTCCTTTAGACTTTTTCTATGGGGACACATAAAAAGTAAAGTATAGCACTCCACCCGCCTCATTAGAAGACCTGCGAAGACGAATTATTGATGTTTGTCGCGAAGTGACCCCGGAAGTTCTTCAGAATGTTCTAGAACGGACTGGAAACAATTTGTTTTACTGTATGGAGATTGACGGGTAACATTTTCAACATTTGCTTCATTAATAAGATAAGTTTTTTTTAATTAATTCAATTTATGCGTTTTTTGCAAAAAGTACCTTTCAAATTTCAATCTTTCATATTTTCAAAATGACTCGACCGATTTTTAAAATTGGGGAATTTAATTTGGGGAAATATAGCGAATAGAAAGCCCTTTTCATTGAGACGCACTTGAGCCCCCTTCCCATTTGACAAAAGTTGGGGGATGACACCCCCGCTTAGAAGGTTGAAGATTTTGCAATCATTTTTGGGGCAAAAGTTGTCCCCCTCACAAACAAAATTGACGTGTTTTGGGATTTTTTGAAAAAAAAAAATACCCTGGCTGTTATGCCTTGCGGAACGTTTTCGATGAGCCACCCTGTATTAACTAGAGCATATATTTCATTTTCCTGTTGTAATATTCTGTATTAAAGTTTTTTTCTTATTTATTTCATCTGAGAATTATCTTAATTACATATCTTAATTATCATCTTAAATTATTATGTATATAACATGTGTATGCATTTAATGGATTCTATTTATGCTGTAAATAATTTCATTTTAAAAGTAATCTAAATATTATCGTTTACTGTCCATTCGTGCCGATGTTTTTGGTTTAGAGTGACAATAAGGGCCTTGTTGAGTGTACTAATATTTTTCTACCATGCATGGGCGAATATCTTAGCTCGCAAAAGGGCATCTAGAAACAATAACTATAATATAAAGATATTTGCACCAAACATCCAACTTTAGCTTCGAGATCCGAAACCAGGGTCTTAGTACCTGCGGGCGGCGACCTGCTAACTAACCAAAAACTCTTCAGTTTTGAATGATATAAATGTGGCATGTTTTGAATGTATGAAACTACAAACCTTGATACGAGGACAGTTTGTATATTATTATTATTTCTCTTTTATTAAAGTTCAGGACAGCATAGTTAGATTCTCTGGAATAGTGATCGGGGTTTTCTCTGCCGTGCTCTTTTACTCGTGAATTCCAGGCAGAGTACGGAACTCCATTCATTTCATTTAATAAAATAAGTAGGGCTATTTACAAATTTACCGTTCCATTTACGTGATCTATTCAAAATTTTCAAAGTATTGCTTTTGTCGAAGCGCGTCCGAGGTAATCACAATAAAAAACATATTTAACACAACGTAGGTTCCTTTCTTTCATTTAAATTGTTTGTTATACAGTCGGTTAAAATAGATATTACCTCTTCAACTGTGTTGACGAATTTGTTTGTTATACAGTCGGCCAAAATAGATATTACCTCTTCAACTGTGAATTTGGGTTGTTAAGCAGCCCATACGTTATCAAACAAATTGCGCAACACAGGCTGGTGCGCAACAAGTTGCCAATGTATGGCCCTGTTTGATGCATTGCGCAATTGTTTGATAAGCTTCAAGAATGTTTGAATTCTTTTGTGCAACGGGACTGTTTGCGCAACGCGATGTGTTGTGTATGTGTGTGTTGCGCTTCGTTGTGCAATATTTTAGTTGCCAGCCGGTTTTTTTTAGCGTGACGTCGCCGTCGCTTGTTTCTCGAACTATGCACAACTTTTAAAAAAAAGTTGATCAAAATGTTACCAAGTGTATGGGTGATAATGGAGTTGTGCAACGCAACGTTGCGCATCGATTTGTTGCGCAATTTGTTTGATAATGTATGGGCCGCTTTACACTACAGGTTGGTGAAACTAACCTGGGAGTTTGGAGATTAGACAAAACTTAAATAGAGAGCCAGAAGAGACTGTAGCTTTGTTCGGGTCCTTGTTATTTCCGATTCTGAACCGCTCTAGAACTGTGCAGCGCATGCCCAAATGAAATATTTTTTCAAATCTCCTTCTGGCTCTTGCGCATCACAGTTATAGGACGGTTCAGAATCGGTAATAAGAAAAACCCAAAGTAAGATATTATGTTTTTTCAGCAAAGGAAAGGTACAAGGGGAGAATAGTGGGATCAGACGGAATAGTGGATATGACGCCAGAACGTATATCTGTTCGACTACTGTAAATATTCTACCTAGTTTTCTCTTTTAATAAATATTTGGATACTTTTTTAACAATGTTTTATTTTCCTTTTTGATATAAACAACATAATATCTGCTGCTATTTTGGTGGTATTCAAAATTACCTGCATGTTACGTCGACAGAGATTTTTTGCACTTTTTTTATGAGTAGTGAAAAAAACCGTGTTAGTAGTTAGTTAAATTACTTTAAATACTTTGAAACTTTCGTTTGGCAGACAACATAATATTGATCTAAGGCACGCTATTTATTTTATTAAAAATAATCAACATTTATATTTTTTCCAATTTTTTTTGTAACTACTATTCTTAAGGCTAAGACTTTTTATTCTTAATCTAAGGCTAATACATACCTGGGGTATACTAAGTTTCCTAATCTCGGACTCCTGAGTAAACGAAGGCAGATCCTTGAATTCGCTCGTACTGGTGCTCGGGAGACTGTAGTTCGGAGGTACTATCGACACTTTTTTCCGGGTGTGTTTGTGAAGCAGGGCTGTTTTATCTGCCGGAACAAAATCGACGGATTCTGGAACATCCGGATATCGTTGGGCAAGACGACGTCTGAAAATGTATATAATTTTAATAAAGGCATAGTAATAGCTGATATAAATCAGATACAAAGATATAAATTAAGATATCTTCTTGGATTTCGTCTTTAATGTTGAAATTTTACTCGACGCGATGTTTCGACTTCTTAAGGTGCGTCCGCATTGCTCGAGATCTTGCTCGCGCTCTTGCTTCTGATTGTGCTTGCGCTTCCTGTTTGTCGTGTTTCTCAAGATCTTTCGTCTCGCAAGCAACGGCGTCCACATTGTAATGTAGTGCTGGCGTTCGTGCTTTAAAGTAGAATGTAAAATGTTTAGGAGGGGAGTAAATCACCGCGACCTTATAGTTCTATTGTGTGTTCCCCTTTCTTGAGTTATAACGAGTTATAACTCATCATACAGTCTTAGGGCTTTAAGAAAAGCCAGTATCTGAGACAGCTCCGCAGAGGCCAGCTCTCCATCCTCGACATCAGACGTACCAAGGTTCATGGCACGAATGGTCGTCGTCTTGGCGCACCCAGTGATAAGGTGTTCTGGTGTTTCCCCATTTTCCCCACAAAATCTGCATTCGCCGTTGTTTCTCAGTTTCAGCCTACTGAGGTGTTCGTTGAGGAGACAGTGTCCTGTTAGAAACCCCGTGACAATCCGAAGATTGTTTTTACTTAAATCAAGGAAAACCTTTGATTTTTCTCGGTCATAAGTTCTAAGGAATTTTTTCGAGTGTCTTAGACCGTTGGAGGACACCCATTCCAAGTTACGGATGGAGTCTTCCAGATTCTTCAGTTCCGCTTTCAGTTGGTTCCCGTTTGGAAAACAGAACGGTTCTGGTCCAGTTAGTGGAGTGTTCGCTCCTTTTCTAGCTAGATCATTTGCTTTTTCATTGCCTTCTATCCCTTGGTGAGCAGACACCCAGAGTAGGAGGACTTTATTTTTTTTGCCTAATTTGTTGAGCTTCTCCAGGCATTCTTTGACCAACTTCGAATTGATAATTACTGAGTTGATCGCGTTAAGTGCTGCTTGACTATCGGATAGGATGGCAATTTCCTGTTTTCGATAGTTCCTATCTAAGATAAATTGTACGCATCTTTCGATAGCGCAAATTTCTGCCTGAAGGATACTGGGGTAGGTGCCCATTGGTTCGGAGTATTCAGTTTTCGGCCCAAATACTCCTATCCCTGTCCCTGCTTTGGTTTTGGAAGCATCCGTATACCACATGATGGTATGGTCTTTTATATGCTGAGTAAGCGTCTCTTTCTTCCAATTCTTTTTTTTTTTCGTTTCTCAAAGTTGTAAATACTTGGTATGTCATCCACTGGGAGTTGGAGAAGTGGAATTTTCTTTTTGAGGGTGTTCCAAGCCCCTGACCTGAAAATTCTCCCAGTACTGTTTCCGTCAGTAACCATTCTAATCATTGTCGCATTGGCATAACTACCGACGACAATGTGCAGTGGTGTTAATTCTAGAATGACCTCCATTGCTGCTGTTGGACATGTTCTCATGGCACCTGTGATGCAGATACATGCCAGTCTCTGTACTTTGCACATGTTTTGCCTTGTGCTTTAAAGTAATTTAAATAGCGACTGCTAGTGCGATCATTATAGCAAAACGAAGGAGACAAAGAGAAAAAAAGGCGGTGTTGGATGGCTAATAATTTCAAAAGTAGATCCCACAGTGAAAGTACATTTCTACATGATTTACAAACAGACAGAATGATTTTAATAATTTTTATCGCATGTCCGCTACTGATTTTGAAAGACTTATTAACTTAGTTGGCCCCCGTATAGAAAGAAAAAATATAACTTTTAGAAAGTGTATTCTGGTTAAAGAAAGAGTTAAAGAAAGACTGGCCATAACATTAAGATTCCTTGCAAAACCTTGTGGAGACTCATATACCAGCTTAGGTTATTTATTCAAAGTTTCCAAGCAAAGCATTTCAAAAATAGTACCAGGCGTACGCCAAAATATAAATAAAGTTCTCAAAGATCATATTAAGATAAGTAGGCAATATGAATATAGAATGGAAAATAAATTTCTTGCAGTTTTTAGGTATATAATAAAATTATATAAGAGTTTCTTGCTTTGAACTGCTAATATAGAAATTAATTCCACGTTGTGTTCGACATAATGTGGATCAACCTGCTCTCACTACCGGTTTCGGTGCCCTACCCCATCATCAGGTGAGCTTGGGTCGTTTCCACAATATGTCGAGCACAGCGCAAAGTATATAAACACGACTTGTCGTAAAGTAGCGGTAAGATATTAAGTCCCGCATCGCGAGATAGCGGCCCGCGTGCAATGGTAGTACTTTCGTACCACCGAGGCACTATCAATAGTAAATAAAGGCTTTTTTCGGCTAGCCCAAATTATATAATGGAAAATAAATTTCTTGCAGTTTTTAGGTATATAATAAAATTATATTACATATCTGCTGCTTTTTGGTTTGGTTTGGTGCTAACTGCTAATATAGAAATTAATTCCACGCTGTGTTCGACATAATGTGTTTACGACAAGTCGTGTTTATATACTCTGCGCTGTGCTCGACATATTGTGGAAACGATCCAAGCTCACCTGATGATGGGGTAGGGCCCCGAAACCGATAGTGAGAGCAGGTTGATCCACATTATGTCGAACACAGCGTTGAATTAATTTCTATATTAGCAGTTCAAGGCAAGAAACTCTTATATAATTTTATTATATGAATATAGAGTTATATTTTATTAAAGGTATATTTAATATTATTAATCCAAGAACAAAACACAACTATTTTTAATTCTGAACAAAAAAAAATTAGAAAAATCATGGTAGCATCATCATACTGCAGTATACCGAATCCTATGAATGAAACCAAACTAAACAAACAACGCAAATAGCTCAAGCGCCTCGAACCGCGCCGAGCCGTGCAAGCATGTGCAGTAACGTGAGTCTCGCGAGCGCCGCGAACATCTCGCTCCGACTCGACTGTTTGCCATGTTTTTCGTATTTGTGTTCGTTCGGCCTGCTCGCGAGCAATGTGGACGCAGCTTTATGTATCACTAGTCATTTTCGAGTAAATACTAATTAAAATATTAATTTGAAAACAAGACACTTTGAATTGACTTACAGTTTTAAATAGTTTGGATACTGTGAAGAAAAATTCGAAACAATAAGCCTACGCGTTGACTTGAATTTTTAATACAAAAGCCAAAGCAATAAGGCTCTAAGTGTCGATCTCAACATTTAATATGACAAAGTTAAATTGTTACACGTGTTTCGCTCATACGAACATCATCAGACCTAACAGGAAAGAACCCAAATAAATAATTAATCATAAAAAGGTCGTCGTAACAATATTCAACAAATTTACAGATATGGTCACACCACACACGTTTACATCTTACATATTAAAAAAACACTGCGATGAGGTTGAAAAGATAAGGCAAATATTTGTCAATAAAAACAGACAAGAACAAAAAATATGAAATAAAATAAAAATCAAAACACAAAAATAAAAACCAACCTAGTAGGATTTGAACCCCTGGGTGGGAATCACAGACTGAAACCACTAAGCCAACACGCTATTGAAACATCAACTTCGAAGTGAAAAATAATACCACAGAATTAATATTGGAAATATTAAAAATTGGTTCAAGGACAGGGCTTTTTTAGCTCTAGTTATTTCCATTTTCTCTAGAAGATCAAGTTTTTTGCTTTTTTGACACTCGTGCAGAACACTAATATTTTCTGAGATGGAGAAATCTTGACCTGTGGACAATAAATGATTCGCAGAAGCAGACTTAGTTTCGGTTATATCAGAATTTTTATATTTTTATTGACAAGGCTCAGTTGTTCCTGTGCTCGGGTGGAGATCTTTCTACCTGACTGCCCAAACTGCGTTAAATGTTGAGACCGAGACTTAGAGTCTTATTGCTTTGGCTTTTGTATTACAAACCAAGTTTCTTTGGGATCAATGGACGCCTTTTTTAAATTTTAAATTGTAATTTTTAGTCGGCCGACTATTTAGTTGCAAAAGTGAAAACATTTCATACTTATTGAGCCAATCGGCCGACTATTTGATTGCATGTGAGCGCGGCTCGATAGGAATATATTGGTTACAAATATGCAACTAAATAGTCGGCCGATTGAAAATTGCCTGTCAGCGTATAGCCTAACGCTACGCAATGCAATCAAATATGGGGCCGATCGGCTCCATAAAATATATTGTTTTCACTTTTGCAACTAAATAGTCGGTCGACTTAAAATTACATGACAGTGCGTATTCTAATTATCCTAAAACAACTCACAAGAGAAAAGCAGAAAAATGCATGCTTCATTTAAAAATGTATGTAATAATTACTTTTATTCAAATATGGGATAATTGTTTTGGAGTAGTGTACTATTTAAAAAATCACATATACAAGTTTAATATGGAGTGGTCAAATGAAAAAATTCATTGAATTAATATTCTAAAAATAAGTTACTTGAACACAGTAAAGTCCTTGATTTAAGTAAAAACAATCTTCGGATTGTCAGGCGGATTTTAACAGGACACTGTCTCCTCAACAAACACCTCAGAAGGCTGAAGCTGTGGAACAAAGGCAAATGCAGATTCTGTGGGTAAAGAGGGGAAACACCTTATCCCTGAGTACGCCGAGATAACAACCGTTCGTGCCATAAACTTGAGTACGGCTGATGTCGAAGATGAAGAGCTGGCTTCGGTGGAAGGATCTCAGATACTGACTTTTTCAAAGCCCTGAGAGTGTATGATGAATTATAACTCTTGCGGTGAAAAACTCCTCTCCTAAACATTCTACATTCTACTTGAACACAAATTAGTCTAAACAAAATAAAATGTCTCCTTTCATCTGTATCTTTTCAGTCGCTTCAAATTTTAAATGATTTAGTGATGATATTCCCGGATGGACACAAATTATAGTAATGAACCAGCCTTAAAGCTATAGACATTATGTACTTGTAACATCGCATGTGAACGTATTGTTCAGGGACTCAAGTAAATACACTAATCATGTAGGTACAAACTAAAGATAATTAATCCTTAATAGCATGTATTCGTTATTAATTTTACTTCCTGATACAATGTAACCGTGTATTATTGGCTCAATTGACTATTAATTGATTCATAGTATGAGTTTAATCTATAGAATCTTAAGTTTTAATTTGATTTAGATAAAAAAACAAAAAGTTTGAATAAAAAAAGCGTATATTGGAATTAAAAACTCGCCGATTTAGCTATTTCAGTTTGCTGAAAATAAATACTTTCAGATGTATCTATAATGCTAATATAATAACAGTAAAAACTAACAAAGAATGTCCGAATCATAACAGATTAAATTATGACATATTTTGAATATGTTAAGACATTTTTATAAAAAGAAATATTTTTAATTAAGAAATGCGAATCATAATATTTTCAATTATGACATATTTGAATATATTATGATTTATTTTAAGTCAGATATGTTGTAATTCGTACAAGTAGTTAGATATTCTTCAAAAAATAAACGTTTATAAACTGTAGCATATTTAAGGCCAGTGCAACAAGTTTATAATGATTTGATGATTCTATTTACTATAGATACCATTAATTATTTATAATACTATACACTATTGTAACTTTATTCTTATATGAAATCTTCCTTGTTACAAAATTAGTTGTTCATAATGCAAAACTTTTAAAATTTTAATATTTTTTAGGTCTGGTTATTAGTCCAGACCCAAAAATGATTAATTTCAATACCGAAACCGATTAATTTCAATAATCGAGTACTCGAATTTCAAGCGATTTCAATAGTTGAGCACTCGATTATTGAATATCGAGCGAAATATATCTCGTATTTGAAAATATGGGTTTTCGTCCGTCGCTTGTCGCTTGTTGCTTGTTGTACTCGTAACGTCAAGCAGTAAATTGCGTGCACAGAGCACATATTCTTTCGTTGATGAATGGCAAATAGCAAGCGACGATCGATTCGCTTGATCGCTTGCTTCTTGCTTGATTTAGTTTATTTCAAGGCACTCCCGATGTAGGTAGTAAAATTTTGTCACTGAGATACGCAACGGATAACGTCGTATAAATTTGCTACCTGCAATGTATGTAGAAAATTCGCTCGGCTTTTTATCGAGTATGTCACATTAAAATCGGATTTCAATTTACTTCATTCTAGGATCGCTTGCGTTCGTCGCTCGTAACGCGTCACTTGCATAGCTCGTTCATAAACGAGCGATGTCGGTTATTTCAATAATCGAGTACTCGAGTTATTCCATCATTATTATATATCTAATAATAGAAATAGAAATATATAACAAATTTCATGTAGGAAAAAAGTTACAATAAAGTGTCATAAATAATTAATGATGATATCTATAGTAAAAATAATCATCAGATTATTAAATATATAACAAATTTCAAGTAGGAAAAAAGTTACAATAAAGTATTATAAATAATTAATAATTATAGTAAAAATCTCAGATATTATCAGATCATTATGAACACGCTGGTCTTAAATATGCTACAGTTTATAAACATTTAATTTTTTTAAGAATATCTAACTCTACTTGTACGAATTACAACTTATCTGACTTAAAATAAGTAATACCATATTCAAATATGTCATAATTGAAAATATTATGATTTGCATTTATTAATTAAAAATATTTCTTTTTTATAAAAATTTCAAAAGAATCAAATATCTGAAACTTTAACATATTTCTGACAGCATGCTGTTCAAATCTTTATATGTAACTAATAATTAATTAATTTCATTTTGCAGTTACTCTGCGAAGTATCAGATTTTTAAAATAATTTAATAAAAAAAATAAACTTAAGTTGATTATATTTATAAAGAGTTTTAGTATAAGAGTAATACCTAGATAAAATGCATAATTATTTATATTTTAAACAACTAATAATAGTCATATTTTACAACTAGATTTAAATTTTATTTAAAAATTATTGATTGATTCAATAAATTTAACTAAATTTATAACCATGATAGGTTGAAAGCCTATCTATGTTGACATTTGCCTGTTCAGTGTTCAGTTTTAATTTAAAAATAGATGCATTTTAACTTAAAATAGTTAATTCGTTTGACAAAAATTGTGAATTCATCATACGAGACGATTAATAAAAAATCTATTTACTATTTCGCTGTAAAATCAACAGGGGAGCAAATATTGGACGGTTCAGAATTTTAATGGTACTGTTATTGGTACCACTGTTTCCAACGACGATGTACCATCCAGTATTAAACATATTCATTAGGAAAAAATAATACACAGGTGTATTATTTAATATACGATGTGTAAACTAGTTCAAAATTTTCCTAAACTATTTTTGTGTCTTAAATTCAATGCAATTAAAGTGCCTCGTGGAACAAGATCCCCTAAAGCTAAATTTTTGTAGTTAATTAGCCATTGTGGTCCAGATTAATATACTAAAAGTTTCCATCCCTCCGACCGTGCAAACCACACCTAAAGATAGAATTTTTAGTTTATGCTAAATAAAATATGATGAAACAAACGGCATCAGCGATGGCTATGAAATGAAAATCGCTGTCATTTCATATGTAAAATTATATGGAGAATTACATTTTTTCGATAATACAATATCTCCGATACGAGCAACTTTATTAAAAATTGATCGTTATCAAAATGTCGGAGGGATGGGAACTTGTAGTATATTAATCTGGACCACAATGGCTAAGTATCTAGAAAAAAATCAGCTTTAGGGGATTTTGTTCCACGAGCACCATGTAATTAAAAATAAGGGCCTTGAACTACTTGTCTAATTTCGTAAGCTTGGAAGTATAAAATATCATTTTACATATAAAAGAACAACTTACCTGCTATTTTTGTGCGGACATAAATTGTCTTTGAGTCTCGTTTTACTGCGAGGCCTAAAGCACGAAGTCGGACATGCGCACAGAAGAACCCTCACTAGACAGCAAAGTAGACCGGCGACTATTAACGTAGGCCCTATAAGTCTCAGTTCTAACGTCTAAAACAATAAATATTTTTATTAACAATTTATAATTTACGGAACTATATTTAAACGGGAAGCTAAAAAGAAGTTCTCACCTCGTCGAAGCAGTGTGACTGATAAGCAAAGCTTTTATTATTATTACCTTTTCCCTTTTTATTATATCCAAATATTTTTAGCCGACCATACCAACAGGTAGATATGGTAGGCTATTAAGATCGGCAATACATTTTTTTTAATTTCACTCAAAATGAGTTATTTGGGTCATAAATGACCTAAATACAAAATATTTTCATGGTGTCTGTCTGTCTGTCTGTCCATCTGTCTGTAACACGATAACTCAAAAACCGCTAAACCGATTTTAACCAAATTTGGCACAAAAATACTGTGGCACCCGAGAATCTGGCCAGTAGTTTTTGGTGGGGTGGTGGTTGGTAAGGGGGTATGGGAGGGGGTTAAAAATTTTAAAAAATCGTAACTCCAAAATTACAGTAGCTAGGGAAACGGGGTTTTCAATTTAAGATTAGGAATAATATTTGCAACAAAATTTGTAATAACATCAAAATCAAAGTCGCAGTTTTTGAAATAAAAAAAATTGGAAACTGGAAAAAGAACTGCCTACCAACTTTTTATTAACATATTTTAGTATGGGCGGCTATACGTGCCTCCCGGTGCCAATTTTTTTTCGTAAGAAACATCCGAAATTCAGATGCGTAAAAACTAGGATTATTTCCAGTGAAGATAGTCAGTTTCTTTTAATTAAAGTTTTAATTAAAGTGAAAGCCAGTTTTGTTTTTATCAATTTCGACTGATTAATAAAAATACAAACTGGAGTATGATAACTTTTTTGAGGATATTGTTGCGGACCCGTGTGGACTCGGCCTAGTGTGACTAATATGCCCTGCGCCCATGCATTCGAGAACGAATAGAATAATCTAGACGGCTAAAACATTCGAGTAAAATCTGGACTGTCTGTTTCTCTCATATAAGTATAAGCCGACGCCTGAGGAGGACAGAAACAATCGGTCGACGCGTAAAGTTACCGCGCTAAATTCAAAATAAATTCCTTTTAGATAAATAGTTAGATAAATAGTAAATAAGTTGTAAATAGTTCTTTAAGTAGTTTTATCGTTATTGTTTTGTTACTTAGTGTAAAATAAATTGTGTTTAAATAAATTAGACTTTCTATCCACACGGAACCGACGAAAAACGTAACAATATATTGAAAGCACTTTGGTTGCATTAATAAATGATTTGATTTGATTTGATTTGAAAGAATTGACTTCCAAAACTAATTCTTTCAATATAGTTTCATTAGCTACCAATTTATTTCGGCGTAATATGCTTTGCCTGATCCCTCATCTAAGACATTTTTTTTTGTTTGTGATACATCACAATAGGTCCTAATTCATATGCTAATTGTTAACATAATTCTCGAATAACTGGTTGTAACTCTGTAAATATTTATGTTTACGAGATCAACGAAAGATGTCGAGACCAACTACTGATAGCATTTAACTATTAAAATAAAACACGTGCGCCGCTTTCCGTCTTTCATTAATAACGAATAAGTTAACTGCTTCAGTGAAACTGACAGGTGGAAATCCGCCTTAAATCAGACTAAAATTACAAAGCCTATACCGGGTGCGTATCAAAAGTGGCTCAGCCCTATAACTTTTTTATTTTTTCAGATAAAAAAACGGCATTTGGTATTTTAGTATATGACACAAATTAGAATTGATTGCCGTATTCAATTGTTCTCGGTCACTTCCTGTTTTAACAGAAATCACTACAACTTTTGATTTTTAAATGGTACTCTGGTATTTTTTTACTTTATTCAATAGAAAATGACACTCTAAATAGAATGACATATCATATGTCAACTTTTGACATGCATATGGTTTATTTGAAAGTATAACATGCGGTTCATAACGACAATTTGACACAAAATACAAAGTGTATGATATCAAATTATTCGTAAAAAAATGCTTTTTCCAAATATGCTAATGAGCCACCTTCGTTCCATTTGAAAAAATTGAGATGTTATTTTCAGGACAAGACACTAAAACTATTAGGCGATCAAATCTATTTTTCCAATGCTCTTTCCTTAAAAATTAGTGTTTTTATCACAATCATGGCACTCTAGGTTGAAATTTAAAATACGATGTTTTTTTAGGCGAATATGTCAAAAGTTGACATATAATATGTTATTCTAGTCAGAGTGCCATTTAATTATAATCAAAAGTTGTAGTAATTTCCGGTGAAACAGGAAGTGACCGAGAATAGTTGAATACGTCAGTCAATCCTAATTTGTGTCATATACTAACAAACTAAATCTCGTTTTTCTATCTAAAAAATAAAAAAGTTATAGAGGTAACGCACTTTTGAGACGCACCCGGTAGAGGATGACTTCAGTATTCCGAAAAAGCTATCTTATCAGGTATTCTATTTAAGACTTTTATTTCAGTCTTTCAGGCAAAATATGTGTACAATGGTAGCGACCAACAAGGTGACCCAAATATAATTTTACACTGAAATTTTATTTTTTTGAGAAACTCCCAATTAAAAAAAATAGTTCTATAAAAATAATAATATTACAAATTCATAATATATGGTGAGTAGTTTCTGAAGCACTACCATTTTTAGAATAAGTTAATTACAAAATCAAAACTCTTAATGTTTTTCTAAAAAATAATTTATAATATGTTTTTTTAAATAAAATATACTAGAATACACTAGGTATATACAGTGCGAATCAAAACAGTAAGTATTGTACTTAACTATTTTCAATAAAAGAAACACAATATAATTCATGATTAAAAATGTACGTATAGTTTTTTTATAGTTACCAACAGGTATGATAGGCTATTACGATCGGAAAAAAATGTTTTTTTAATTTTACTCAAAATGAGTTATTTGGGTCATAAATGACCTAAATACAAAATATTTTCATGGTATCTGTCTGTCTGTCTGTCCGTATGTCTGTCTGTCTGTAACACGATAACTCACAAACCGCTAAACCGATTTTAACCAAATTTGACACAAAAACTGTGGCAGCCGAGAATCTGGCTATTAGTTTTTGGTGAGGGTGGGAGGTTGGTAAGGGGGTATGGGAGGGGGTTAAAAATTTTAAAAAATTGTAACTCCACAATTACAGTAGCTAGCGAAACGCGGTTTTCAATTTAAGATTAGGAATAATATTTGCAACAAAATTTGTTATAACATCAAAATCAGTCAAAGTCGCAGTTTTTGAGATAATTGAAATTAAAAGAACTGATTCCTACTAACTTTCTATTAACATATTTTAGTATGGGCGGCTATACGTACCTCCTGGCGCCAATTTTTTTTATTTAACTCTAGCAAAATACTAAAGTGCTAAAACTAAATAATATTTTGTTTCTATTTTAGGTGATGAATTAACTAATTTTAACATCTGATTAGAAGTCATATTTAGTTCCGTTTTAAAACGAATTTTAAATTTTAGAATTTCACATTTACCAAACAAAATTACAGATTTTAACTTAGATTTTGATTAAATTATTCGTAAAATGTGAAAAATTTCTACTGTAAATTAGCTGTCCGCGCCAGTTTTACAACTAGAAATTCCTCGCCTTTAGGAAATATTAATGTTAAAGTGGCGTGTTTTCTAACACGGACAAGCCGGACACATTTTTTATGTCTCACTATTACATACAAAAGACGATATCTTAGTCTAATTATTGAACTACTTAACTCTGGAAATTACTAAAAAACTCAATACTTATAACGTTTTGTCAAGTGACCGTGACCTTTCAAAAGATATTTTTGAATTCAACCATATGTTTATTTTGTAATTAAATAATATACCGGGTGCATCTCAAAAGTGGCTCACCTTTATACAGGGTTGTTCACCACATACGACACGGAGTATTGTAGCTAAACGATTAGATTTTTACAAATTGTAAGTTTTAGGTTCTTTCAAGGATTATTAGAGCTACAATTTAAAAATATTTTTACAAAATACAGAGTGTCCCAAATAAGTGAAAAATATTATGGTTGTATTTTTTTTAAATGGAACTCTCTGCATATTATTCTATTTTTAGATTCTACCATTAAAATAAAGGTAAATTTCATTAAGGTTCATCATACTTAAATTACCGTGGGTCACCGTTTTTGAAATATTTTCAATTTTATGAAATTGCAGTAAAAATTATTTCTCCAAGGGTTTCAAAGTTTTTAATACTAAATATTTACTGAAGATTATTTATTGATCAGATATTGTGTTGCAATAATAAAAAGTTTACTACCTTATAGAGAGTGTCCAAAAATGTATATCAAATAATTACTAGTTTTAAACGGCAATAACTTGTTTAATTTAAATGGAACACCCTATATATTTTACGTGAATCAAATGCACAATGTAATTGTCTATCAAATTATATTATACCATTTTTTACCCATCTCTTCAGGTTTTCGTAGAAAATCCATTTTCTTATAATTTAGAACTAATTTATCACTATACCCATGGAATATTGACATTTTAGATTATTTTTAAAGATGTAACAAATTTTCAAAGAGTACAGATACTAATATTGTCGATATAGTTCGCTTACTTCTTATAAAAATTAAAAAAAAAACTGTTTAAATATTTTTTGTTAAAGAGGACCAATTAATATGATCCCAGTATTCAAATTATATTAATTGACTGTTTACGTTGATTAATAATAATTGCTCCAAATACTAAAAAACTGAATTTTGTGTGTGTATTAGACAGTGTGGTAAAAAGTAACGCCTTATAAATTTTATTTCATTTTTTGACAAATGCTTATTTATAAAAACAGAGACGTTCATTTTTATAACTTATTAATATATTGATTTCTGAGCCAAATCCACATTTATTTAGAATACTTTATTAATTAAAACAATTAAAGGTACATAATTAACTGATTTTTGGTCGGAAATAATGGTGGTATATTTAATTCGTATACTCTTTTACAAATATTTAAATAGTTCTTTATTGTATACCAATGGGCTTGCAATGTTTACCACCTGTACATTTTGTACATGTATGTTGCTTTTAAAAAAGTTTGAATGTCTGAATCCATGGCTATAGTGATATACAACGCGTTCAATTATAAGAAAATGCATTTTCTACGAAAACTTGAAGAGATAGATAAAAAATTGTATAATAAAATATGATAGACAATTAAATTGTGCATATGATTCACGTAAAATATACAGGGTGTTCCATTTAAATTAAACCACGTGCACAGATTTAAAGCTAATAATTATTTAATAGCACTCTATAAGTGGTAAAGGCTGTGTGCAACAATGATCAGCAATCTTCAGTAAATATTGATATTAAAAACTTTGCTACGCCAGGAGAAGTATGGTGGCTGCAGTTTCGCCAATTGAAAATATTTCAAAAACGGTAAGGTTTAAGTGTGATAAACCTTAATCAAATTTACCTTTATTTCAATCGTAGAATCCAAAAATAGAATAATATACAGGGTGTTCCATTTAAAAAAATACAACTATAATATTTTTTACTTATTTGGGACACTCTGTATCTTGTAAAAATATTTTTAAAGTGTAGCTCTAATAGTCCTTCAACGAACCCAAAACTTACAATTTGTAAAAATCTAATCGTTTAGCTACAATACTCCGTGTCATATGTGGTAAACAACCCTGTATAACACCCTCGATATTTTTAGCCGACTATACCAACAGGTATGGTAGGCTATTAGGATCGGCAAAAAAAAGTTTTTTTAATTTCACTCAAAATGAGTTATTTGGGTCATAAATGACCTAAATACAAAATATTTTCATGGTGTCTGTCTGTCTGTCCGTCTGTAACACGATAACTCAAAAACATTTGGTTTCGATAACTCAAAACATTGTTTTTGGTGGGGGTGGGAGGTTGGTTAAGGGGGTATGGGAGGAAGTTAAAAATTTTAAAAAATCGTAACTCCAAAATTACAGTAGCTAGCGAAACGCGGTTTTCAATTTAAGATTAGGAATAATATTTGCAACAAAATTTGTAATAACATCAAAATCACTCAAAGTCGCAGTTTTTCAGATAAAAAAAATTGCTTTTTCTTAACATATTTTCGTATGGGAGGCTATACGTGCCTCCTGGCGCCAATTTTTTTATTTTATTCGATAGAAAATGACACCCTGAATAGAATAATATTTATTGATATTGAATAACATTTTCGTATAATATAGTTTATTTGAAATTGTAACAAACGACAATTTGACTCGAAATACTATGTGTGTAGTAAAAATTATTCGTAAAAATATGCTTTTTCTAAATATGCCAACGAGCCACCCTTGTTCCCTTTGAAAACATTGAGATATGATTAAAACTACGATTTGGGCATCTTTTAACCAGCTAGGACAAGACACGTAAAACATTAGACAATCAAATCTATTTTTCCGAGTCTGCTTGATTAAAAATTAGTGTTTCTAACACAGCCAAGGCACTTTAGATTGATATTTAAAATACGATTTTTTTAAGCAAAATTGTCAAAAGTTGATATACATGATATGTCATACTATTCAGAGTGTCATTTCCTATCGAATAAAGTAAAAATATACCGAGGGTGCCATTTAAAAATCAAAAGTTGTGGTCATTTCCGGTAAAACAGGAAGTGGCAAAAAAAATTATATACTTTTATAAAAATCTTTTTATAAAAACAACCCCTATTAAAAAATAGAGGTTGATGGTAGAAGGGTGAAAATTTAGGGTTGTATGTATTATTAGGATATTATATTGATTATATAAAAAAATTTAATGACACGTTGTAAAAAAATAAAAAATAATTTATTTTTCCAAAAAAAAACAATTGGGGTGGACCACCCTTATCACTTAGCAGTATGAAGATAGATAACAACATATTCTCAGACCTACTGAGTATACATATAAAATTTCATCAAAATCGGTCAAGCTGTTTCGGAGGAGTATCGTAACTAAGACTGTAACACGGGAATTTTATACAGGGTGGTCCGAACTGTATTCCGGAAACTTCGCCAGCATATTCTGCAGATAAAAATAAATAAAAAAGTTCGTATAAATGTATGTCCTAAAATGCTTAGTTTCGGAGATACAGGGTTCATTTTTTTTCAGAAGTTTCATTTTTATTTGGATTTTTTCCAAATAATTTATGAAACAACGTCACTATTTGGATCAAAATTTGTGTCTGAAAGTTTTTTGGCATGAGAAATTTGATTTTGATGTCAATATGACTCCTACTTGTAGAGGGCGCCACCTATATATTTTCTAACTGGTTTGAAGAATAATAACATTTCGTCGGTACCTGTATAAAACTATTGAGTGAAGAAATATACATTTCCGTGACTTTTTATGTAAAAAATGTATCTTGGTAAAAATTGCTACGAGTAATGGTTCTTGAGATATTTGGAATCGAAGTTATCAATACCTGTCATCATTGACATAAATTAAACGTGTTGACTAAATAATCATTAGACTAAAATTATAAATTTTAAATGTTTTTGTGCCAAAAGTTCAACAAAAACTGTTTTATCATCATTTTTTCGCAGTAACATTTATGATTAATATAAAAAAAATAAAAATTTCCCAAATTTATTATTTCAGTCAAATAACTATCTACTCAACGTGTTTATTTTTGGTCAATAATGACATGTATTGACTATTTTCGTTCCAAATATCTTCAGAACGGTTGCTCGTAGCGATTTTTATCAAGAGACATTTTTTACGTAAAAAGTCACGAAAATGTATATTTCTTCACTCAGTAGTTTTATACAGGTAGGGACAAAAAGTTATTACTTTTTAAAAGAGTTAAAACATATGTAAGTGGCGCCCTCTACAAATAGGAGTTATGTTGACATCAAAATCAAATTTCTCATGTCATGAAACTCCCAGATACCAATTTTAATCCAAATATTGACGTTACTTTAGAAATTATTAGGAAAAAATCGTAATAAAAATGAAACTTCTACACCCTGTATCTCCGAAACTAAGCATTTTAGGACATACATTTATATGAACTATTTTACTTATTTTTATCTGTAGAATATGCTGCCGAAGTTTCCGGAATACAGTTCGGACCACCCTGTATATTAGATAGTTACTGTATAAAATTACGAAATGAAATGAACTAATGAAAAAATAGACAAAATTTACCTTAAATCCTTTTTCTCCTGTACCGACGAAAAATATAACACTTCCTATGGCTGTAGTACCCAAACCGACGTACAAAAGGGCATTGGCGGCAGCACTCTGATGGAAAGCTACGTAATCTCCTTCTTCGTCAGATCCTCCACCATAAGTAGTGTCGTGAATCTATTAGATATAAAAAGTAATTTAAACACAAACTGGGGCCTGTTTAAATCTAAAATTATTGAGCAATATATACTTCAATATAGTATGTAGTGAGATGAACCGCCTATTTAAAATTATACATATTTCTTTATATTCAAAACATTCATTTTTAAGACACTCTGTATACGTAAATAAAATAATTGATTCTTAAAATATTCGCAAACTAGGGAGAGGGACATCAGGCGACGAACAGAGATGATAGTTGTTAAATAATAGCTTTTATTATGTTAAAACCGCCGTCAGTTTTTACCAATAGCTTTTAGACTACCATTCGAGACGCATTGATGTTATTTTGGTTCGTAAGTTTTGTGACATAGAATGTTATTAAAGGTAACGTAAATGTTTTCTCATTATTTAGCTAATGTTAACTAGAGCATATATTTAGTTTTTCTGTTGTAATATTCTGTATTAAAGTTTTTCCTTATTTATTTCATCTGAGAATATACACTTCCCGTAAAAATAAGATTTATTTTTCATATCAACACAGGTCCGATTCTGCTTTGTTTCGTAGCTTTTCGTAATTTTTTCAGATAAAATAACGAGATTGGGAATTTCATTTCATATTCTATTCAGAGTGTCATTTTCTATCGAATAAAATAGAAGTGTTATACCGAGGGTGCCATTTAAAAATCAAAAGTTATTTCCGGTCAAACAGGAAGTAACCAAAATCAATAGAATACGTTAATCAATTCTAATTTATGTCATATACTAACATACCAAATCTCTTTTTTTTTATTTGAAAAAAAAAAATAAAAGAGCCACTTTCGAGACGCACCCGGTATATTTTGAAGCAAGAAATCTTATATATTTTGAAAACTCTATTTGAATATAGAAAAGATATTTACTATAAATTTACATATAGATATGCAGAATAGAAAGGAACGGAGCAGAATAAATTTAATAATGTACTGATATTGAGATGCCTAATATTTTTAGAAATGTGGTTTATTTTTGTTTATTTTCCTTGTAATTAGATATAACTAAATTTTGTTTAGCAAATACATTTTGGTTATATCATTTTTAGGTTATTAATTTAATTTGTTTCAGGATGTACAATGAATGCTAAATGTGATTTCCTTTTATGACATAGTTTTTTGTTTCAAATTAGTGTAATAATTATTTTATTAACAGAAAATAATACATTTGTCTGTATAGGCGTTAGGCGTCCAAAAATAATTTATAATTAATTTATATTTCAGAATGTTTTTTTAAAAATGGCAATTTGTTTTATTTTTGATTTAGTTTTTGTCTGTAAAAAATAAAATAAAAATTACCTCAAGACGTGCGCAAAACAATTATAAATAAAATAAATAAAAAACTCTTAACAATAAGTAAGAATTTAAGGGCACAGCACTTCGTAGCCAGAATAATTTTAGAATATATTTTACGTATATTTTTAATTAATTTATTTTAATTAATACGTAAAATTACAGAAATTAGTATCAATTAAAGTATTTCAGGTTGCTAAAAATATGTTTTCATACTAGAGATGAGCAAAACTGCGATTTTTAAATCGCTACGACTGTATTCAGCGATTGCGATTTTAATATTTTAATATACTACTAGGGATATAATTGTCTGTGTATATACATATAGCTTAACAGTTAAAAAAATGTTAATAAGTAAGTAGTATATTAAACAACGAGTTTTGAAAACGACGTTTTCCACACGAGTTCGACAGTTTGTTGTCGAACTAGTGTACAAAGAAGGTTTCGAACGAGTTTTTTACGCTATTTTTTCTACGACTACAAATTAGCAGCAGAGTCACTCAGTTTTTGCCAGTTTTGTGAAATAATTTGCGATGTAATGATGACAATTTCTTGTGACGGCTGCGTTGCGTTTGGTGTTTCAGCTAAACATTGGAGGTTAAAAATGTTAAAATTGGCATATGTCGTGTGCAAAATGACACATGTCGTGCGCTAAATCCTTAGCACACAACAGTTTGCAAAACGCCAATTTCAGATGGTGTTTTCCGTGTGTCAAACTGCATTTTCTAGGCTAGTCGTAGAAAAAATCAGTTGCTTAGTTTTTAAGTATTATTTTAACATCTGACAATTTGACTCGAAATACCAATTGTATGGTACCAAATTATTCGTAAAAAAATGCTTTTTCTAAATATGCTGATGCGCCACTTTCGTTCCATTTGGAAACATTGAGATGTGATTAAAAATACGATATGGGCATCTTTTAATCGGCCAGGACAACACACGAGAAACAATAAACAATTATTTTTTTTCCGAGGATACTTCATTAAAAATTAGTGTTTTTAAAACACCCATGGCACTCTAGATTGAAATTTGAAATAAGATTTTTTAAGCGTAAATGTCAAAAGTTGACATATGAAATGCCATTCTATTCAGAGTGCCATTTTTTATCTAATAAATTAAAAAAAATACCAAAGCTGCCATTAAAAAATTTAAAGTTGTAGTAATTTCCGGTAAAACAGGAAGTGATCGAAACGAATTGAATACGTCAATCAATCCTAATTTATGTCATATGCTAACATACCAAATCTGTTTTTTTTTATCAGAAAAATTAAAAAAGTTATAGTGGCGAACCACTCTTGAGAAACACGCGGTATATTTATGATTGGCCCTAGAAAGTAATACCTACCTTCTCTATAAATAAAAATGAAAGAAAAAATTCAATGGCAGTTTACTATAAAATGCTTCAATGGACCACAAAATTACATTCGCAACAAAATCGCAAATCGCAACTCCTAAAAATTCAAACTTGCAGATAGAAGGTTATCACGGTTCTAGTTTACAAAGTCACGATCGCAGCAAATTCGTAACTCGCTACTAAATCGTAACTTGCAACTATAATAATATTGGTTGCCTAAATTGAAACTCGCAAATAGAAGAAATGGCAGTCGCAGTTTCGTATGAGAGCCAATCGCAGGTTGCAATTGCGATTTTAAAATCGCAGCAATTGAATCGCAGTTTGCGATTTGTTGCTCATCTCTATTTTATACCTATATTACACCACCTAACAATTTAATTTAGTAAGAGTATAAACTGATAAAGAATGTTTAAATCATAATATATTAAATTATGATATATTACAAATTGATTAAAACATTTTTATATAAAAAATATTTTTATTTAAGAAGTGCGAATCAGAATATTCTCAATTATGACATATTATAAATACAGGTTGTCTCAATATTCCGGTGACATAGAACTACTACGTATTCTTGGAATCAAAATAAGTTTACTGAACATAATTTACCTCTATACAAAAGTGCCTCGCTTGTCCGTTAGAGCGCATCAAACTTTAAACAAATAAACACATTTTTAAAATATTTTAAGAACCGATAATCCGATTTAAATGATATTTGTTTTACTAAGCGCTTTAACATTTGACTTCTACAAAAAACAAGAAAATGTACAGGAAGGGTGAAAATTACCTCCGCCCTTATATACATTTTAGTAGAAATATTTTCATTTATGTAGAAAAACTCCAACAACTACTGATTTTTTTTTCGAAAAATGGTCCTATTAGTACATTTTTAATCTCTTGTAAGAAAATGCCACCAAGCATACTTTTTAAGAAAAATAAAATTAAACCATATTTTCATACTTATTTCAAAAAATGTCATACCTCTATTGTATACATCAAATGTCTGTTCATCTCTCCAAAAAGTTTTATGGGTATTTCGCCACTGTAAGAAAATCTACAAGATAAAATAGTTATTTTTTGTAAACACTGCTGGGCGTTAATCCAACGGAGACTAATTGTCAGTAGTGGTTTACTAATAAACAAATTTGCCTAATGAACAAAAATGCTTAACGTTTCAAAAAGTATATCTCTTTCCGTCGTCGTTTCATATAGTATACAGCTCGAAGACTATGTCCAGTGGTAAATAGCAAAAAGTCAAAACAACTACTAGAGCATAAAATGAAACTAGTACGCATAATGGAGGATTCTCCTCTAGCACTTTAGCTTGGTCTAAGAAGCATCTCATTGTCTTGTCCCTGGCTGTAGTGTCGTGGCCAGGGAATTGCACCAAGACATATAACGATGCCGGACGGGGCTACCCCTGTCAGTCCTACCAGGCACCCTCTACTGACTGTGGTCATGTCTCGCGGGTAGAGCGTGTAGGGGGTTTTGTCTTAACCGCCTGGACCAAGGGAATACAGCCTCACCAAAAACCTAAATCCTACGATGGCGGGACCAGGTCAAAGAGATGCGTGGCTAGATAGAGGACTAGCCATTACTAGCTTTAACCCTGAGGTATCAGGGGGCACCCCATTGTATTTACCCCTTACTTCTGCATGCGGAGCTGTGTAGAAGTGGACCGACTATCCCTAGCGACTCGTGGTAACACTATGAGATCTAGTATTAAAAACACCACCGGTGAAGCTGTGGGGGAGAAGCCCCCTAGCGATACTGGGAACATTACAAATTAAAGTTCCAAGGGACCAAATCCAAAGGAAACTACAGGAGGGGCCGGCTGACACTTGCTTGGGATCATCCTCCACAAGTGGCACACAAGCTACCACCTTCTCCAGCAAGGGTCGAGAGCCTACCTCTAGACCCAATAAGCGACATAAGCTACCCGGCTTGGGTCAACCAGGCGGGCTAGACGATCCTCTGAGAGTAGGTCTTAGCGGAGCAGAAGCACGGAGATACCTCCGACTGTTCCACGACGGACTTGCTCCAGAGGAAGCAAAAGCGAAAACACTCCTCAGAAAAAGGGAGAGTAAAGAAACCAAGAAACAGCCTGACTCATCTCCATCAAAGGGCAAGAGAGGGAGCGAGAACCTCTCAAAAGCCAGGATGGAAAGTCGTCCAACATCGGGAGGCAAGCAGGCACGTATCACCAGCTTTCCGCTGTTGCTGGACAAGTGAAAATAGCGGTGCTGCCAAAGGATTTCCCAGAGGTTGCTGTGACCAGCGACCAGCAAACGTCTCTAGAAGAGGCTATACTGGACGAAATATTGGCGATCGGATCGCAA